AATGTAATGGAATGGGAATAGAATAGAATAGAATAGAATAGAATAGAATAGAATAGAATAGAATAGAATAGAATAGAATAGAATAGAATAGAATATATGGAATGGAATGGAATGGAATACAAGAATAGAATAGACTAGACTAGACTAGACTAGACTAGACTAGACTAGAATAGAATAGAAAATATGGAATGGAATGGAATAGAATAGAATAGAATAGAATAGAATAGAATAGAAAATATGGAATATGGAATGGAATGGAATAGAATAGAATAGAATAGAATAGAATAGAATAGAATAGAATAGAATAGAATAGAAAATATGGAATGGAATGGAATGGAATGGAATAGAATAGAATAGAATAGAATAGAATAGAATAGAATAGAATAGAATAGAATAGAATAGAATAGAATAGAATAGAAATTATGGAATGGAATGGAATAGAAAATAGAATAGAATAGAATATATGGAATGGAATGGAATGAAGTACAGGTAGTCCAGTTAGCACTTCAGAGGGGAGAGCACAATTCACCACACAACCCATCTTGCAAGCTTGCACAAACGCACGGTTGAGGCAACCGCTTCCTATCTGAGCTCAGAAGAGAGGATCAAGATATCCCCAGCTTCTTTCTTTCTCTATCAAGAGGCCTGTCACCTTGACGTGATCGATTTAGCTTGACAGGAGCCTTTATGGAGCCTCTTCTCCATTTGCCATGATCTCAGCCAGGCGCCCTTCGCTTTCCATCGACTTAAGAGTCACAGCATCAAAAAGGGATGCTTTAGATCAAGGGGGGGGGGTTCCGGTCTTCTGTTCAATACATACAGGATCCCAAAATAAAACAGGGAATGGCAGAAAGTTCCCCGATTTTGATAGATCAGGGGCTACCAGCTTCTCCAGCGAGAGAATAAAGCAATAAGAAAAATGCCACCTTCTTTGCGTATTAATGTATTTATTTAATCCATTGTGCTGCCTCAGTTGTCAAAGTGGCTCTAGGGAGGGGAGGGGAGGGGAGGAAGGAGAGAAGGAAGGAAAGAAGGGAGGGAAGGAGGGAGGAGAGGGGGAGGAAGAGAGAAAGGGAAGGGAGGGAGGGAGGAAAGAAGAGAAGAATGAAGGGGAGGAAAAGGAAGGAAGGGAGAGAGAGGAGGAGAAGGAAGGGAGGGAGGGAGGGAGGGAGGGAGGGAAGGGAGGAAGGAAGGGAGGAAGGGAGAGGGAGGGAAGGGAGAGAGGGAGGGAGGGAGGGAGAGAGGAGAGGAGGAGAAGGAAGA